GGAGAAGCAGAAAGCTCAGGAATGGCAGTCCCGTCTTGTGTCCTCACTTGGGAAGGGGCTCCGGGAGTGGGGACACCGTGGAGCCTGCAGCCTGTGCGGGCCCACTCCTGCTCCCTCCTCCCCTGCCCTCCCACGAGTCCCTCAGGAGCTGACCTGGGGGTCAGGCTGCTACACTCGGCACTCAGCAAGGGGAGGATTTCAATGAAAGCAAAGGAGGAGGCGGCGGGAGAGAGCCAGCGAGTGAGCGCAAGGGAGGGGAGGCCGCACAGGCAGCGGAGAAATAAAGAAATGGGCACAGAATGGCGAGGTGCTTCCAACTGAGCCGCAGGGCCGCTCCTCTCCCACCTGCCTCTTGTCCCCTGGGAAGGGTCTCCCAGTTATAACCTATGGCTCTCGGGCACTCTCTTGCTGCGGATTCTATCCAGCCTCTGCAACTGGACAAGCAGGTTGGCACTTCCGGGGAGCAGGCCTGGAGCCTGGTCGCCCTTTTCCTGCCAGGCTGACTGTGTAAGGTCTGCCAGGCCCTCTTCCACACCTTCAGTCACCGCCCAAGGCCTAGGGGAAAGGCCATGCATCCCGCGGTGCGGTTCTTACCTGGAGTTTGGGGGACCCTGGGACCCTAACATGGTGCGCGGGGTTTGTTTGTAACATACTTGCAGGAACTAAGTCATAAAGCTCTGTAGGCCCCGATGGCGCTCTTCGGAGGCTGTTCTCATGTCTATGCCACTGGTGATCGGAATAGGTGGGATTTGTGTGATTACAGAGAATGCATTTTTACTCTATATAGTGTGAGCTAGCCTGTTCATGTTAACTATTTTTAAAAACAAACACCTACAATGACAGTCTTCCCTGGTCACTTTGTAAAAGAGCTCTGGGCTTACCAAGTGGCACTTAGAAGACCCACTGGCCCATCTTCCAAGCACAAGGCATCCTTGTCCCAGGGATTTCACTTATCTGGAAACATCTAAAGGTAGCTGCCTTCCCTGGTAGGAGTCTGCTAGACTTAGAGGTCTCCAGGTTGAAGACAGTTGCTCTTTCTGTCTAGTCTTTGAACGGTTACGGGGCGTTTGTGGGGGGAGGGTCCAGACGGCAGGCCCAACATGGTAGCAACTGCCTCTCCGAATTTCTGGTCTGGGCTAGATTTTAGGCTCTGACCAGGCACCGGTGGGTGAACTACCGCCGACACTGAGGGGCTTGCTGGGTAGACGGATGTCAGCCGAACGAGCATAGATACTGGCGGCTTGGGGAGGCCCCGTCTTGCGCCCCACCTGGCCCCTGCTTAAGAGCCCTCGAAGCCACCGAGCTGGGCTGGATGCGCCTGTAGATAGACTCAGATGCCACGTCCCGCCCCGGCTGCTTATTTAGCGAGGTGCCTCCAGCTCATATTCTACCCAGTCGGGGTCAGCGAGTGGGAACCGCGGGGAGAGGGGGCGGAGAACACCAACTCCTCGCTCGCAGACCCAGCAGGGCGGCCTTCCGCCCGAGCCGTTTTATTTGCAGCTTCCCTCCTCGGTGGCCGCGGGCCCCCTGCGGACACGCACCACCCTGAGCCCCTTCGCGGGCACTATCCCGGGGCCTGGAGGGATCTGGAAGGCTCCGCCAGCCCCTCGCTCGGGGTAGGAAGGGAGTACCGCCCAGCAGATGAAAACGCGGCGCTGGCCTGTCCCTAAGTACCTCTGAGGCCACCACAAAGTCGGGCGCAGAGGTGAGTGGCGCGGGGCGCTTGCCCCGGGAAGGTCAGCCAGGGAGCAAAGCTTGGGGCTAGCGCAGGGCTGGGGATTCCAAACGGCCTAATCCGCTGCACTTCCCCCCCTCCCTCCCTCCCCGCTCCGGGTCCAATCTGCTCGGCCTTCGCCCGCGATGCTCCCCCCATCCCGGCGTCTCCAGCACGTTGGCAGTCGCGCAGCCCCCGGCCGCGAGCGCGGGGGGGTGGGGTGGGGTGCGCAGGGTGGTTTGTTTTGCGAGGCCTGACAGAACCTTCTGTGTGCGGCGGAGGGAGGAGGCTAATGCATAATGCACAGCGCCTGGAAGCCCGGCCATTAGCGGCCTGTCGGTGACACAGACAAACGACTGAGAGGGAGGAGATCCAGCTCGCTCTGGAGTTTAAATATACCAGCGTAGAGGGGAAACGCCATGATTTAAAAGTGTGTGTTTGCAGACACTCGCATATATTTTAATGATTTCCAGCAGGCCGTGCGCCCCAGCCTTGCATCCTCCTCCCCAAAGGGGGGACATGTATGGGGGGGGTAAGAATGAAGGCAGAGTGAGAGGCCTCAACCCGAGACCCATCGCTAGCTTCCGAGGGATGAAGGGGAGAAGAGGTTGGTAAATGCACCGCGGAGAAAGTGAGGCCTAGGGAAGCCACACGACCCAAGGCCATCCCCAGATTTTTGTTTTTTTAAATCTGGCCATCGAGCCTTCCACCCCGGACTGGACCTTCTACGCTGTACTAAAAAGAAAGGCCTGGGGGAAAGAATAAACCCTACTACCCCGGCTTCCCCCCAGGTGCCCACATTTTTGAATCTTCCCTTTCCACCGACAATCCAGAGACCTCCTTCCTCCCCGTTTAACACACCAGTGTTTTTTAGCAATTAAGGCGAGAAGGGGGTGGGGATAAAGATAAGCCAATTTTTTTTTCCGCCATGCAAGTGTGAAAGATAAGATAACGCTAAGCTGAGGCAAAGCGGCTGCTTACAACCTCCCCTCAGCGATTTTGATCGGTCACTTCTTATCTCACAAAAATGCTCCTTTCGAAAACTGCATCAAAAAAAGAAAAAGGCTGAAGGAAAGCATTTTCATTTGGAACTGACATTTAAAACTCACCTTCTCTACACCAGCAACTCCTCCCCATCCGCGGGGCTCCCCAGGAAAAGTCGCACCTCGACTACAGGGTTTCAGGCTTTCTCGTGGGGGGCAGGATTACTAGTGTAATTAGAGTGAATAAAACCAGGGATGCGTGATGAGGATTTATCCTGCATCCAACCCCAGCCTCGCAGCCGGGTTTTCCTTCTCTGAGTTCCTGGTCGCTGTTTGTGTTTCACCATCGCGCTCGTGTGTTAAAACTAAACAGGTAGTTATATTTGGGAGGATCGTATAACTGTGTCAACACGAAGCCGTTGTTAATGCGAAATAATAAGAAACTCTGCTGACTTTTACAGGCCCCTGTAAAGGATGGAAAAGGCGTCATGCGCCCCGGAACCCGAGAACTCTCAGCCGAACCGGACTCTCGGGGAGTCTTATAAAATTCTTTTCTCGCAAAAAAATCTCACCAAGGGGTTTCCGGAAGACTTTGTATTTGTTGAGGGAGGTTTCGGTATTGAACTCCAGGCCCGCGGGGCGGCCTGTAAATTCCCCCCAGCCCAGCCGCTGGCCCCAGATCGCAAACATCAAGGCAGGCGCCCCAGGCTGAGTTGATGAACCTCTGCGCCCACCTCCGGCTTACAGCTCCCGAGCTCCCACTTCTTCACCCCCCATCCCGGGTTCGCGACTCGGCGCTGGGCGCAAACCGAGTCTGCCCTCTCCGGGCACGACCTAAAGCCCGGGGCTAGCCGCGGCCGGATAGTCCCCGGGGAGCCGAAACCGCCGAGCGGGGAAACCCCTCCTCTCGCCCTTCCGCGAAAAGCCTGGCCCCGGCGTAGGCGCCAAGCAAACGGGCGTCCGCTGACAGCCGGGCCTCACGTAAGGCCCACACGCGTCCCATTAGTCAGCCTGAGTTCCCCTCGGGCGAGCAGTCTGGCGCGGCCCCAAGGCCAGGCGCGGGCGGGGAGGGGGTGCGGGGCCGCGGCGAGCTGGGAGCGGGGCGGGGGCGCGGGCTCTGCGGGGCCCGGCCGGGCTCGGTTCCGCGTTCCTGGGCCCGCGGGTAAGCTGAGCCGGCGGGGCAGGCCGCTCCCTGGCTGGCGCCGAGGCGCCGAGCTGCGCTTCACGTGCCCGCCATATCAGCGGCGGCGGCGGCGGCGAGGAGCGGGGGCAGGGAGGCGCGCCGCAGCTCCCGCGGGGCCTCCGGTCCCCCTTCCCCCGCCCTGCGGGGGGCTGGGTCCGGACCACCCCGCAGCCCCCATCCCCGCGCCGGCCGAGAGCGGCGCTGCCAGACGCCAAGAGGCTTCTAGGGCGCCGTTCCGAAAGCTGCGCGGCGGCGGCAGCCAGGGGAGGGTGCTCCTCGCGGCCGCCCCGGGAACTTCCCGCCGCCCCGCCGCCGCCGCCGCCGCAGTCACCGGGGCCGGAAGCCCTTGCGCCGCCCCGAGCGGCCTCCGCTGGCCCCTAGGGCTGTTCCAGACGAGGGCTGGTCGCGCGTCACCTTCGATCCCTCCTAGTCCCAGGCGGCCGCCCTCGCCCTGGGGCATCCCCATTTAAACCCGGAGGACCCTTCTAGAGGTCCAGCGGGACCTTCCTCTATTACCGCCATCAACGCGGCTCCCCCGGCAGCTGGGACAGGAGGGGCGCGGAGCCGCCACTCCGGCCGGGCAGGAACACCTGCTCCCGGGCCCTGCAGCTGGGCGCGTGGTGCCGGGAGAGGCTGCCTACTGTTGTGTGCAGAGATCGCGGAGGAGAAAACGGGGCTCCGAAGCTCAGGGCCAGGCGCAGCCGCGCCCTGGCCGCCCCCGACTCCCACCCTTTCTGTGCGATCAAGCCCGAAGCTCGGGGACGCGGGTCTCCCTGAGGGTCGAAGGGCCGCCACCCCTGGGATCCAGCTTCTGGCCTCAGGAGGTCGTTCGCAAGATAGATGGGGCAAAACCTGTTTTGGGAGTCTTCCCGGTGTCCGCCCCCGCTCTCCAAACCAGACACACTCATCTCCCCTCGGCCCCCATTCTAGCCTCCGGCGGGGGACAAGAGTAGGTCATGGCGGCACTGGTACGGGGTTCGGACTTTGCCACGCGGCGTGGGCAGGGCCGATGGACCCTCCCCATCTCCTGTGTGCCCAGAGGAGATCGGGCAGCCGAGATGACCTGCGCCGCTTGCCCTGCCTCACCCCCCCTCCCCCGTCCCGCCCTCCCCGGAGCTCCTGGCCCAGGGCCCGGCCGGGGAAGGCGTTGTTTTGCCAGCGGGAGCCGAGCGAGTGCGCAGAGAAAAGCCTCCCTGCTCTAATGAGAGTGCACACAGCGCTGCAGCGAGGAGGATGATTACCCGGCGGGCGGGGGGGCGCGGGGCCGGGCCGCGGGCGGCGTGTGCGGCGGCCCCGCGGGCCCGGAGTCCCCGCCTGTCTGGCTGCTAATCGCACGCTTTCTGCTGTTACGGGGGCAGGCGGGAGCCGGCGGCCAAGCCCAGCGCCGGCGACTCGGCGGGTGACACGGAAACATGGCGCAGCGCCCCTCCCCCGCCCGCCCGCCCGCCCTCCCTGCGCTCCCGCCTCCCGCCTCGCACTTCCTCCCGCCCGCGAGGCTTTTGCAGTTCTAATGCTCTGCTGTCCGCCCGGCACCATTACGCTAGCAGCCGCTTCTCGGCCGCCGCGCGCGTCTCTTTCCCTTTTGTTTTCGGGGTCTATAGAAAACGTTTGCTTTTGTCCCGAGCTCTCGTTAAACCAAACTTGTGGTGGCAACGGAAGGCGGTGCGGGCGGGGAGGGGCCCGGGGATTTTGGCAGCAGCCGACCAGAGCGTGGTGGAAACTTCTCTCGCTGGGTTCCCCGCCCCCCCGCCTTCCCCCCCCTCCCCTCTTACACACAGGCCAGTCGGCCTACCAACGCTTCCCCCCTTCTCCCCCTGAGAGGCCTCAGCGCTCCAGGAAGGAGGTCTGGGCTAGAGGGACTGTGACCAGGGGTGAAGAGCCTAGGGTGCGTGTCCGTGGGCCCCGAGTTTTTGGCACTCGGTGACCTCGCTCCTTGAAGTCTTGACTTGCCTCTCCCTCCCTTTGGTCATTCGGGGCTTTGTATCAGCCGATGGAGAAGGAAGGGGAGGGAAGAGAAGAAAGTGGTTCACGTGTGTGGTTTTTATATTAAGGGTTTGTTGGAATCTCTCACCTCCAACTGTATAGCCTCTTTTATAGGATCTATGGAGAGAAGGGGGAAGGTGGGCCCCACGGGGGGAAAGGGTCAGGAACCTAGACCTGGGAGCTGGATCTTACTCTACCGGTCGGCTCAGCTACAGCCCGGTCCGCAAGCGGGGTGGGGGGACATTGCAGAGAGGGGAACGGACAGGAGGGCCGGGTCCCTCGATCCAGGAGACGCCAAACCTCCCTCCCCCGGTCGAGAGCGCAGGTCCCCCTGGCGCGCTCCCCAGCCCAGAGCGCACGCCGTGGCTCCGCACCGGAGCTGCTCAGGCGGCAATTTTTTAAGCCTGCAATTAAGCGAGGCGTCGCCGTGTCCTCTGCTAGTGTCGATCCTGTCAGTCGCACATGGCCTTGGTGCTCCGGTCCGAGGCCCCGCGATTAGTCACAGGCTCGCTTCGCTCCTTCCCTAATCCGCCTCTGCAGGCAGCCTGGGGACGCGGCCGACTTGGCGGCGCTGGCAGGGAGCCACTGCGCGCGGGGCGGGCCGCCTGGCCAGTACCAGCCCCGCTGTGCCCGAGTCGGCGCGGGTCCCAGGGTGCGGGCTTGGGACTCCCTCCTCCCTTCACAGCCCCCAGGCTGGGGCGGCAGCGCCCCTCCTCCTCTCGCCCCACTCCCGGGCCTGCGAGATCTATTTGTGTGGTGTCATTTGCATAAAAATAGGACAAGTGTTTCAGTGCGTTCGAACGCGGGAGGCGAAATTCTTATTGATGTGTCTGTGTGGAGCCCTCGGTTGTCGGAGCGGTTTGATTTAGGGTGTTTGTGTTGCCTTCTGCGAGGAATGAGAGGAAATCCTGCGCAACGCCTTCGGCGGCCCAGCCCCCACAGAGCATCCCCCTCTGCACGGCCCGGAACGGTCCACCGCCTGGACCCCGGCGCGCCGAGTCCACAGCGAGTAGGCTGAGGGCCAGGCGGGCGACCCATTATGACTCATAAAACTGGGCGGCCTAATCACCAGCTGCCAACCCGTTTACGTGTGGCGCTTCCCAATGTTCCCTTCGCCCGGCCCGGGCCTCCAGCAGGTTCGCCCCGGACACGGCTAGAGCCGCTCAGTGGGGGCTAATCAAGTGGTCGCTCGTTCCCGTCAGCAGCGCGGCTTCCCTTCCCGGGCGACCCCCGCGCTCCCGGCCTTTGCGCTGCTCGCCAGCAACTCCTCAGCTTGGACAAATAGCTGGGAGGGCGCCGGCCGCGCGGAGCCAGTAAATCAATCATTAACTCCCCGGCGAGGCCTGGCCAGGGGAGGGAGCGGCGGCCAGAACCGAGTCAGCGGGGCGAGAGCGAGGCCCCCACCCCGGGTTGGGAGCCGTCCACGCGCCAGCAGACAGGGTGCGTGAAAGTGGGTCCCCCCGGGGCCTCCAGATCCCCTCCAGAAGCCTCCGCCTGCCGGGCCTTTCAAGCCCGCACCTCGCCTCGCCAGTCAGGTCGGGTTACTGTGCGGCCCCCGCGCAGGCTGGAACATTAACGAGCCGCCCCGGGCCTCGCGGCCTGCTCTCCCCAGGAGAGCCTGCCGCGCTTGGGCAAGCTCTTCGGATCCGGTCGGGCTCCTCCAGACACTGGCTTGCCAAACCAAACCGATCGCCCCCGTGTCGACTAGTCTCCCAGCGGCACCCTCCCCACGGAGCCCACCGTGGGGCGGCACGCAGGGGGTTAAAAGCTCCGGTTCGCCCTGGCTCCTCCGCGGCGCTGAGGAAACGCTGATCAAAGTGCTTACGGGGAAGGAAACACACACGCACACTTGGGCCTGGGTCGAAGAAGAGCGACCGGAGGGACGGCTCGGGAGCCGCCTGCCTCGACCCGCTTCCCACACTCCCGGGAACGCGACGGCGGCGGCGGCCCGCGCGATTCTCTCCGCGGAGCTCGGCGCGGCGGGGCCGGGAGGCCGGCGGGGAGGGGGATGGAACGAGGGGGAGGGAGGCGAGCCCGGGCTGCGCGCCAAGAGGCCCAGAGCCGCAGATTAGTCACCGTTCGGCTGGGCGCTCACGGGTGCGCCCGGGAACCGGGAGGGCAGGCGTCGGCCCCGCTCCGCCGGGCTCCCGGGGGCTCGGCGCCGCGGCGCGGGTGCCCCCGCCCCCACCCCTGCGCGCGCCCGGCGCGGCTGGATGAACTCTCGGGGGCTCGCGCTGCGGAGATCCACTTGTCAGTTCAAGGGCAGGACAGAAACTCTGCAAGCAGAGTCTTGCGAACAGGAAATTTCTCATTGACAAGGTGCTGCCCCTCCCCCACGCCCGGCTTCAAAACAAAACAAAAACCCGGCGCGAGCGGTCAATGCACCCAGCCCGGGCCCTCCGTGGTCTGCGCCCCTCCACCGCCTCGGCGACCCCCGCGGCTCGGCCCCGGTCCGGGGAGCGGAGAGCTCGCCGAGCCCCGGGCCCCAAGCTCAGGCGGCCGCCAACAAACAGGCCCGGCGGGCAGGTTGGGCTTGGGTCCCGCCGAGGGCGCCCAGCTGCCACCCTCCGGGGCCCTGGCAGGGTCGGGCGGGGGCGCAGGGCCCGGGAGGTTCCGCACCTTCTCGGGTTATGAACCTGGCGGGGCGGCTTTGCGGAGCTGGAGGCCGCCAGGTCAGCGGCTCCCCGGAGGCGTGGGGGCGGGGAGGCCGCGCGGCGCCGCCGACTCGGTGAATCCCGCTGCGGGGATCCGGGAGGGCGGCGAGCTCGGCCTGGCAAAGTTCCTGTAGAAACTCCATGTTTAGAAACTCCAGCGGCGTCGCGGGAGGAGGGGGCGAAGAGGGCGCGCGGGGCACGCGGGGGCGGCCGGCACCCGCCTTGCACTCCCGGGGAGGGGTCCCGGGCCCCCAGGCCAAGGCGAAGTCTGGAGGGCGGAGACGGCCGGGTTCCCGGCCCGTTCTTTTGTGTCTGCCCCTCTCTTTTCTCCACACTCTAAAGGAGATATTTAAACCCGTTTCATTTATTGAATTCAGCCCGGAGAGGAAGGCTGCCTTTTTAGGGACCCTGATATTCAGGGTAATTTCGTATTTGACATATGTAAATACTTAGTACTCTCAGGTAAGGTCAAATTATTTATCATCTTAATTTATATTTCAATAGGCCTACAATTTAGAGGCGCGAAATGCCTCCTTATGAATCATTATGGTCTATTAGGGGAAGTAATGTATAAACAGCACTATTTGGGAGGGAATCACTTATGTTGACATTTAAATGGCTCTTCAATAGTTAAAAAAAAAGAGAGAGACATTCGAGTGCCTTTGATTAAGTATACAATTTACACGACCATCAGCAAAGCCATCAGGAATATAAATTCTTCTTGGGATTTTTATTTATTTCCTTTCTTCCTTTCTTCCTCCTTTCCTTCCTTCCTTCCTTCCTTCCTTCCTTTCTTTCCTTTCCTTTCCTTTCCTTTCCTTTCAGCCTTCCAGGGCGTGCATGTCATTTAATCCCTATAGGAAAATCCACACATTCCAGGCAAAATATCATTCTCCTCTCCTCCAGCTAATGGTTTATCAAAAACCCAGGGAATCACCGGAAGTGGGAGCAAATTCCACCAGCAGGCACCCAGTGGGATGTTTATAGACCTTTATACCTCAGTAACAGAATCAACCACTTTCTAACAATATCACAACCGATTTGTGAAACATTGTAGCTTCCCTGCTGGAGTGGAACCTTCCTGAAGGCCTGTGTCCATTCATGCAACCTTCTGTTCCCACAGCACTCAGCACAGGGCCTCGTACCATTTTAAGTCATCCTCCTACACCTGCTAAAATATCACTGGCAGAGGCTCTTCCTGACTGCCTCCCTCCCCCACCCCCGTGCACTCTTTATTGAATTACTCTGTTGTATTCATTCCCTTGAAGCGTCTTCCATCTTTAGAATGCCCTTCTTTAGCCCCACATCTCCTTCCCCGGCTCCCTATTTATCCGTTCCCCTGCACAGCTGTAGTTCTCAAAAGAGGTGTCTACGTCCATTAGTATTTCCATTTCCTTACCTTGTGTGCCCTCTAAAACTCAGCTCGTTTTGAAGTTATTCGAAGATATTGGGATAAATTACAGCTTTGTTTGTAACAGCATCATATTAGAAACAACCTAAATGTCCAGCAATGACATTGATGGTTCATGCATACAAGGGAACATTCTGTACCTCTTTAAAAAATAAAAATTTGCTCTGCACTATTGATAGGGAACGACCCCCAAGGTCTATTGTTAGGGGAAAACCATAACGTGCAGAATGGGTGTGTATAGTACGTTACAATCTGAGTACCTCACCGTTTAGGGGATACAGACACATATCTGTCGGTACATTAAACATCTTCAACACTGCTGGGGAAGATTAAACATCTTCAACACCCTCACCACCCCTTTCTTTATTTTCAGAAATGGGAACACACTGCACAAGGTGTTCCCTACCTCACCTATAAAACTTATTGCTTCATCTTACAGATCATTTTCTATAGCAGCACTTGGAGATGGGCTCTGGCTGTGCCAAGGCCTGTGGAATTTCACTGTATAGATGCCTCATTTATCACACTCTTCAACCCACACTCTTCAACCTCCACCCTCCCTAGCTGTTCTGCAGAAAGGGCTCAAGATCACCTGCCACTTCCTTGTTGCTGGAGGGCGGGGATGCAGGGGGTGGGGGTCAAGCCTTCCTTGGCCTTGGAAGCACTCAACACCCCTGACCACTCCCCACTTGAACTGCTCTTGGCTTCCCAGATACCACACACACATGGTTTGCATCCTACCTCTGAGTCTCTTTCAGTCTCTTTCTGGACTCTTCTCTATGCTATACTAGTTGCCTTGGGCCTGGGTCCTTCCTTCTCTCCCCCCTGCCCCAATCTCATCCAGGCTCATGGCTTTAAATACCACCTACTTGCTGATGACCTGATAACCCTTCAATTTGTTTTTCCAGTTCCAGACCCCCATATCAAACGGCAGACCTGACATCTCAATTTGGCCATCTATGACCAGCTTCATGATAACAATAGTGAACATTTGCAGAGTGCTGGCAACCCTCTTCGAAGGACTTCCTAGAAATTAATGATTAATCCTTACAACTACCCTCTGAGGCAGGTAGAATTATTATCCACATTTTACGGATGAGGAAACTAAGGCAGAGAGGTCACAGAACATTCCCAAAGTCACTGGGAAAATGGTGGAGCTAAGATTCAAACTCAGTCAGCCGTAGAGTCCACATTCTTTGTCACCCTGCTTCATAGCCTACCTAAAACTGAATTTTTAAAAAAACCAATGAATCTACAAATATTTTGGGGTATTTACTACATGTCAGGCCCTGCAACAGGTCCTGGGGAAAGAGTGGCAAGCAGGACAAACTGTCCCTTAAAAAAGAGACCTGCTCGTCCCTTGGGACCTGCCCTTTGTCCCAATTCCCTTCCCTATGGCAGAAAATGTCTCAGCCACTTCAGTGCTTAAAGCATAATCTTGGGGGTGGGAGGGAAGGGGTCATTCTAGACCTGTCTCCTTCATCTCCCACCTCGCCTTCCTCCAGTCTGATGGCAAGCCTAACCGATTCTACTTCCAAGTGTTCTATCCAGTCAACCTACTTCTTCCCATTCTCCCAAATCCACCTTGGCCAGGGCACCATCTTCTTGCCTGGGTTAGCACACAGGATTACTAGTCCCACTGTTCTCTGTGCTGCCACTCTCACCCTCCCCCAACCCATCCTCCACATGGCAGCTACAAAGTCTTCTGAGAAAAAAAAAAGCATGTCACATGTCACTACCCCACTAGTTCCCACTGTACTTGGAACAAAACCCAAACTCCTTAACAAGGCTTCCAGATCCCTGCCACCTCATGGCTTGCCACTGTCTGCCTCACCCTCTGAGGGCCAGCACATATGGCCCCTGTTGTTAATAGGCTCTGAGCATTCCTCCCTGGGCTGTCATCTCCCCAACAAGACTACGCTCTGTAAGGACAGGGTGCGCCATCACTGTGTACTAAGTTTGCATCAATATCCCGGAATGAACACGTACAAACATACCGTTCTCATAATGTTGTTTGTGGCACATTTGTGGCACAACGCCTGGCACATATAAATGCTTAAAAATACACTTCATTTATTTTTTAGTTTTGGCCTCACCACGCGGCACGTGAAATCTTAGTTCCCCGACCAGGGATTGAACCCGTGCCCCCTGCGGTAGAAGTGCAGAGTCCTAAACACTGGACCACCAGGGGATTCCGCCCCCCCAAATACTTGATAAACAGTAAATGAGTCAGTGAATGCTTCATACGTTTTTGCTAACTCTAATCAATATTCTATATCATGGCCAGAGAAGAAACCAAATTCAAGAGAGCAAAACAAGGGACTTCCCTGGCCTTCCAGTGATTAAGACTCCGCCCTTCTAATGTAAGGGGCACGGGTTTGATCCCTGGTCGGGGAACTAAGATCCCACACGAATCACTTTTTTTGGTGCAGCTGGCCAAAAAAAAATACACAAATAAATTTTTTTTTTTTTAAAAAAAGAGAGAGTAAGGTAATTACGGGCATGTGCTTCAGGAAAAGCTGGGTGTCCGGGCTTGCAGGGAGTAGCTCTGTAGTTCTGGTGAGGATCGAGACCTAAGAAATTAGGAGAGTAAAGCTTGAGGCCAGAGGAGCCATTATCGCCTGGAGAGGCTCATGGGAGCATGGGATGCAAGTATACAGGCGTTTGTCAGAGGAGCCAGGGTTCCTGGGTGTGCACGCTGAGGGCGGGCCTTGGACGTTCCTATCCTTGCTAAGTGCCACAGAATATCGGCCCCAGGAGGTGAGAGAGGGACGTCCTAGCCAAGAAGAGCAAGACAGAGCCCAAAACTCCTTAGAGTATTTTGCCTGTTGCCAACCACTTGGTCCTTACTTGGTGGCAAAGACTGAGACCACCCTTCTCCAGACCCTTAGAAACCAGAAGAGTGGGTTCTGGTCACAGGTGACCTTGGGCAATTGGAGTTCTTCTCTCAATCCCATGCCGCCGTTTGACATTGAACAGTAACTATGGCATTAGGATGCATTTGATAGCAAAGCAAGTCTTTTTTAAGGATGAATAATTCCTCCATGATAAAAATAGCTACTGTTTATTGAGGGCCTTCGCTCTTTTCAGTGACTTTATTAGGTAGATTCCCCAGTTACCTCACCAAAGCCCCAAAAATAACCCTATGGGTTAAGTATTATGATTCACATTATACAGCTAAGGAGACGGAAGCTCACAATTGCCCTCCCCAAATATATAGCTAATCTAACTGAGTTTGGCGACGGGGATTCTACCTGACTCCAAACCTGGGCTCTTTCCAGTAGAGTAATTGTTTGTCTCCCACGCATATGCACTGTTCCCCCAAACCTTAAACTATTTCTGGGATCAGATCCTACATAGCTTCTCCAGTCCTGTCCCTCTGGGGTCGTCTTGACAACTCGCCAACTGGAGTAAATATCATAAAAGGAGTTTGTTTCTTTCTGGGATCAGCAGGTCTCGGTTGATGTGCTGTGTTCACCATGGGAACCTAAGAATTTATCATCTGTGTGAAGAGTTGCCTTCCTCTCAGGTAAGCTTTGAAAAAGTGAAGGGCCAAGTTCAAGGGAAGGACTTCCTCCCCAGAACAAGTAGATTGTCTAGCTCTGTTTGGAAAGTGTCTGCACCTCCACCAGTACTAAATTATGGCTCAGTGTTCGGTGAGATTATAAACCACCTTGCCCTTTCAGACTTCTGGGCAACGTTTTTCCCAGCGTTGGGCTTTGATAAAGATTACTCTGCTCTTACCATGGGGAGAGCTAAAGCAGGGAAGAGAGGATATTGGGAGAACCCACGACACAGCCCCTCTGAAGTTCTTGAATTTGGGGAGGAGGAGGGCCACTAGCCCTTTTCAGCTCTTAGGAGAACAATAGCTAGGATTTGTTAAGGTCTCACTATCCACCAGGCACAGTTCTAAACACTTTATATGCATTACTAATCTCATTTCACATATGGGCAAACTATCCCATAATAAAAGTACTATTATTATCCCCATTTCACAGATGAGGAAACTGAGGCTTAGAGGATAATTAACTTGCCTGCTTGCCTGGACACTCATTGCCTGATTCCTAGAGCCTAAACTTTGATCCACGCAGTCTTTCCAACTCTCCAGGCACCTGTGGTCAACGTCATGACTCTGCCAATTCCACAGGCGCATCATAATTGGGTGCTTCCTTTGGATCTAAAGGAAATGGCCTTCACTGCATGCTGGCATGCCAACGATGCCCTCTGAGGACATGACGACAGTGAATTTGTCCCAAAGGTCTCTCTGAGATGCCTCTCGTGTTCTGTCGCTTTCCAAGATGCAGCCTGTTCAGGGTAAGCAGAAGCTCTGGGATGACCCCCGTGACGGAGTGTGGTCACATCCCCGCCCTGGTCTCTTTGACAAAGCATGCTGGCCAGTCGGCGGATGCCCTCACCAGTTCAATGCCAGTGGTTGCGCCGGGACCTTCCTGCCCTATTTGCTGGCACAGGGAGCGTGCAGGAGGGAAGATCGATCTCCGAGATAATTCAGGTTCTGTCTTTCTTCAAACCAGCCTCTGTCCTCTGCTCTAGCTCCGCCGACAATGATTAATGCGCCACTGACTATTTCCTTTCTTCGGCTTCTCCCTGGCTTTGGGGTTTATTTCACAGCCTTTGCCAGGGTTTCTCCTCAGCAGAGAGTAAATACTTGGAGATTGGAGCACAGCCCTTGGTGTTACTCAGAAAGCGTCCCAGGCAGCAGGTGGAACGGGGCCATCCCTGGAGTAGGTGATGCCACTGTTTAGGGTTCAGTGCTAACCCACCACCTCCACCAATGAAAGCCTAATCTTTTAATTATTCTGAAAATACCCAAACTAAGGATGGCAGGGAAGGCAATTAATAGGATTCATACGGTCTAGTCCTCATTTGTAATTATATATTATTATTTTTCTCCCTACTTTGTTCCAATAATGATTTAAGGCTGCTTCCAAAGATACACAAAACCCAGCAAAGATAAATAGAGTGGGACGTGAATTATAATGTCATGCCCACTCACAACCTCTGTGCTCCGTTCCACATATAGAACTGAATTCATAACGCCTTTCAAAAAGGAGGTAATTGGGACTTCCATGGTGGGGCAGTAGTTAAGAATTCGCCTGCCAATGCAGGGGACACGGGTTCGAGCCCTGGTCCGGGAAGATCCCACATGCCGCAGAGCAAGTAAGCCCGTGCGGCACAACTACCAAGCCTGCGCTCTAGAGCCCACGAGCCACAGCTACTGAGCCCACATGCCACAACTACTAAAGCCCACGTGCCTAGAGCCCGTGCTCTGCAGTGAGAAGCCACTGTAATGAGAAGCCCACGCACCGCAACAAAGAGTAGCCCCGCTCGCTGCAACTAGAGGAAGCCCGCGTGCAGCAACGAAGACCCAACGCAGCCAAAAATAAATACATTTATAAAAAAAGAAAAATGAGGTAATTCTGCTGTTTTGGTGGCAACACTAGGTTCTTTGAAAAGCAAGGGGGTGGTACACAGTAATGAAAGGACCGGGGAGGGCACAAGAGATCCCATTTCTAATGCTGATTCCCTCGGTGTGTGACCTTGGGCAAGTCACTCACCCTCTCTGGACTTTGGATTCTAAAATCCTCAAATGTCTCTGCCCATCTCTGAGGCCTCCCCGCCACCATCATCACCATCACGCAGGTGGAAGCCAGTACTGCCCATCTAGCATGAGGCCCCCTAGGAATTACTATTAGAGAAATGGGTTCCCAGGAATACCTCTCTCCATCTCTCTCTCTCTCTCTCTCTCTCTCTCTCTCTCTCATAAACACACACACACACACACACACACACACAGAGAAAAATCTTCCCGGACACTGGAACAATGGAACCTGAATGGTCTCTTCCCCTAAGGCAAGAACCCTTTCTAATCTTTAGCTAAAGAGACACTTCTGGGATCAGGGTAGCATGGAGAATGTCCTGCTGAGAGGCAGGGGTCTCTCCCTCCCTCAGGTGTGAGTTACTTTCCTTCCTCCTCCTACAGTTCAAGATCCTCTTAGAACTCGGCCCGACTCCCCAGATGCAGCCTCAACTGCCTTCACTCCCTCCTAACCCCATTTTTCATTTGTTTATCAATTCCAGCACCTAACACCACCGGCCTCAAGGCCGCCAGGAAGACTGATTTTAAAATGCAGGCCCGCCTCAAAAGCACACTCTCAATTTACCTCAGGTTTTAAAGTGGGCAAAGCCAATCTAAAGTGTCAAAAGTCAGCCTAGGGGTGACCTTGGAGGAAGGGGGACAATGGAGAGGGGCATGCCCCCTGGGAGGGGGCACAACAGGGAGTTCGGGGTGGGGGGCCTGGGAATACGCTGCGTCTTGACCTGGGTGCTGGCTACGCGGGTGTGCCCAGCTTGTAACGATTCTCCAAGCTGTACGTTTAGGATTTAGATAATTTTCTGTCTGTGTGCTGCACTTCAATAGAATGTTAACAATATAAAAAATATAATAGGGAATTCCCTGGCTGGCCAGTGCTTAGAACTCAGTGCTTTCACTACCGAGGGCGCGGCTTCGATCCCTGGTCGGGGAACTAATATGATCCCCGCAAGCCGCGGGGACGTGGCCAAAAAGAAAAAAAATACAATAAATAAAAAAATACGCAAACGAACTGGGGAAGGAGAAGGCTTATAATTGCATGCGAGCTCTTGGGCAGGAGAGCCGGCTGCAGGAGAGCGGGGGACACTCTGGGTGGAGTCGGGGTGGGGAGGCAGGGCAGTGAGGTTCTTCTAGAGACAGCCAGGAAGCACGGTTTAAAATCACGGGAACAGAAGCGAACTTTCTGCTCCATGACAGAAGCAAGTCGTTGAGAGCAGTGCACCAGGTGGATGGGCCATGCTCAGGGGGAGGACTCACAGCACCCTGCCCACGGCCCAGGATACCAGCGCAAGAGCAGCAAGTACACAGCGTTAGCGGTTGGCCAGGCCCCCTGATCCGGCCTTTCCTGCCATCTTCCTTGCCTCCGTGGACCCAGACAGGTGAGCCTTTCCCCCACTGGTGCCCATGAATGTTCCCCTCCGGGAACCCCTCTCTCCCTTCTTTCCTCTAACCCTGCTTCTTCTCCCTGGTTCCCACACACCACCTGGTCATGACACCCAGTTATGGCCAGAAAGCAGTCCAGGGACCGGGGAGTCACCTCTGAGCTCTCTGACCACCCCACTCCTCCAGCCTGACCCATCACCAAATCCTGTTTTCTGTCCCCTTGGCAGCTCTAGGAGTCATCCATTCCCTCTGCATCCAGCGCCTGCCTAGCACAATCTCTTGCCTAAGACCTGGCAATGACCTCCTAACTGGCCCCCTTCGTCCGCTCCTGCCCCTCTGCCGTCCATTTCCAGCACAGCAGCCAACAGCAACGACCATACCTGCAAATCTCGACTGCTACTGGGTACCAGGTGCCCTTCCAGACACTCAGCACATCCTGGGGAGCAAAATGGATGCCTGTCCTTGAGGTGCTTGTATTCCAGCAGGAGAGAGACGGACAATAAACAATAAAGGTAACGGGTCTTAAAATTGCCTCGGACAGTAGACAGATACACACCAAGGAAAGACAGGTGGGAGCAGGTAAGGGCCAGCAGGAGGGCAGGGGGTCGGGAGAAGGGTTCAGGATTCAGGGGTGGTCAGGGGAACCCTCTTTGAGAAGGTGAGAGGTGAGCAAAGACTCGAAGGAGGTGAGGGAGCCCAGAGGATTTCTGGAGGAAGAGAGTTGCAGGCAGAGGCATAGCCAGTGCAAAGGACCTGTGGCGGGAGGGTGCCTGCGGTGTGTAAGGAACAAGCAGGATTCCAGTGTGGCCAGAGTGTAAAGCAGGAGGATGGATCAGGGAGGTAATAGGGGGCACAGCGCCCTGGAGCCAGAGCAATGGTACCCCTACAGCTCTCACTACTGAGATGAAGGTGAAAACTGTCAGCCAGCTCACCAGGCCCTACCCTTCAGACCTTTGCTCTCAGCTTCTGTTTCCAGCCCCTTCCCACATCCGGGCCATCCCAGGAGACTGCCCGGATCCGTCTTCCCTCCACCCCACTTTCCTAGTCATTTGGAGCTCTATCTAAACAGCATTGCCTCTAAGACACATTCCCCCGAGCCAGGTTAGTCCCCCAGCTTCACCCTCTCAAACCACCTGGTCCTTAGCCTCACACCACAGGCCTCACCAGTTCGCAGCAATCTATCTTTAAGTCTATAATTAGTTCATTTGGTTCATCGCCATCTCTGACGGGTGTTTACTGTATACCAAGCACTGTCCTGGGCGCCAGGGCACCGTGGAGAACAAGATTGACAGGGTCCCTGTGCTAAGGGAGACGGACCATAAACACAAAGCAAATAGAGAAGATAACTTCGGATGATGATATGAGCTGCAAAGATGAAACAGGGCAGCGTGGCTGCGAAGGGGATACGGGAAAAAGAGCTCCAGGCAGCTGAAGGGTAAGTGCGCAGGTCCTGAAGTACGACTGCCCCTGAACTATTTGAGCAAGTGAACGACGACGACCTGTGTGGCTGGAGCCGAAGGGGCTCGTCTCTCCAGCTAGAAAGGCGGTCCCACAAGACCCAGGACCCCTGTGTTTCCTCTGTGTCTGCACCCACGGTGCCTGCCCACAGCTGCCACTCACCACATTTGTTGGATGAAGGAGTAGAAATTTCATTTCTGCACCTCCTTCCATCCCACTTTATCCCTGAACTCTTCCCAGTCATCTCCAGACCTCCAAGAACACTTCCTCCCCGAAGCCGAAACCTCAGAACCTTTGCTTGAGATCCTTGGACGGTCAGCTTGGGGCCGGGCAACCCCTTGAAATAGTGCAAAAATGGTGGCCTTGGTGCCCGTGTCCATTTTTCCGGGGGCGCACGCATCAAAGTCCGGAAGGTCTGAGACCTGACCTTTCAAAACCTTTATGAAACAGTGACCCGAATCCCTGGCTTTGCAGATGTGGGAACTGGGGTGTAGAGGAAGGACCGTGTATCCCGGGCTCCCCATCAGGCCGCCAGCTGCTAGGCCACGAGACCCACCTGATGTGGCTTCAGGAAGCCGGTGTGGGTGTGCTCTCTTTGACACTAGCAGCCTCACAGACGGCGTCTAAGTAACGCGCTCTAAGTCCCTTGTGGCTGACGTCCTTCCTCCTGGGATTACGCATTCCTTGGGGGCAGGATGGGCTTCTTGGATTTTTTTAAAATGTTACTTAACCTGACTCTTTACTTCTGCGTCTACACACTTCCAACTGAGGGACCCCACGAGCACCGGCTGCCCAGTCAGCTCCCTCCTCCCACGCCTGAAGGACCACGGAAGCCGCCACGTGGGGCCTTCACTGGCTTGTGGTCGGGCCTGTGGCTGGATATTCTTAGCAGCCTTCAGCCGTTCATCCCGGGAATCTCAACTCCCCTGCCACCAGGGCTTAGATCGCTCACCGCCAGGGCCAAGATGTTCTCTGTTTCCAAGCAGACAACTCAGAGTGAAGCGAAGCGTGCTTGGTTCAAAGGCCCACAGCCCAGCGTCACACAGCCAGTGGCTGCGCGCTGCCGCCTGGGCCTGCCGAGCAGCCAGACTGTTGGGAGAACGCGTTCTGACTTAGCAGGAACCGCGCGGCGCAGCAGGGGCTCTGGGCCACAGCAGGGCGGTTAGTGTGGCTGACCTCTTTCCCGGGCCCTGGGGCAACTCGGAGGCCAGGGAGTCTCAGATACTGGCTGACCTTCCTTTCTACAGGTCGAAGGCATCCACTGTGGGTCAAGAGGCAATTCTTTTTGGTCGTTTCTTACCATTATTATTTTTTTAATTTTAATTTTATATTGGAGTATAGTTGACTTACAATGTTGTGTTAGTTTCAGGGGTACAGCAAAGTGATTCAGTTATACATGTACATATATCTGTTCTTTTTCATATTCTTTTTCCATATAGGTTATTACAGAGTGTTGAGTAGAGTTCCATGTGCTAGACAGTAGGCCCTTGTTGGGTATCTACTTTATATATAGTAGTGTGTATATGTTACTCCCCAACTCCTAATTTATCCCTCTCCCCACCCTTACCCCCCGGTAACCAGAAGTTTGTTTTTGAAGTCTGTGAGTCTGTTTCTGTTTTGTAAATAAGTTCAGTTGTATCATTTTTTTAGATTCCACATATAAGTGATATCATACGATATTTGTCTTTCTCTTTCTGACTTCACTT